AAAAAATATATATATACATGTCAAATGAACCCGTGTATGACAGAACCGCAAGGGAGCCAGAAAAAAAATTCCGTCTTTGACATTTTCCGTCTTTGAAACTCCACTCCATCTCCTCCTCCCCCCTCCCCCCAAAGGTCAATGGTTGCTTGTCTGGTCACATCTCAAAAACCACTCTGATTATGGTATGCCTCATATTTATCCTTTGCCACCAGTGCTTGCATTTCATAGGACACTAATATTTGGCCTATTAAAAAGCCCTACCCATCGGTGTAATAAACGCAGTAGTCAACCGATACCACACGGCGAACGTTTTTTACGGCTGGCCGTACAATCATTAATCATTACCCAGGAAAGTTTCCGTGCTGGAGCGAGGTTCAGGCACTTTCACAGGCACCAGTGAGATACCCAACACCACCCTGACCATCTGCACCGCTCAGGGCTCACATTAAACATCTACCCCCAAGTCACATCCCTACTTCCCTTCCTCGCGGCTGTTGCCTTTTGTATACATTATACAGATTTTACAGTAGGCTAGGCTATCTTAGTAACTAAGTATGCAATTTGTTGAGAGCCTATGCTATTCTTAATAAGAAAACCTAGATGTGAGCACTTAGCTGCACAGTGTGGAGGGAGGGGGGTCCCAATTTGAAGTTACTAGATGTTATCCTAGGCTATTTTAGTCACTAAGACAGCTTAGATGTTACCCATGGGGGTTATAAGTTAAAGCAATTGTTGTAAGGTCATTGATGTTACCCCATCCATGTGTCCATTACGGGTGGGATCTGGTTGGGTGGGGTCCTGTTGGAAGGGGGGGGGGGGTCGCCCTACTCACAAACACGTTTGTTTTTTGAGGCGATGAGTCGGGCACTGAGAAGGACCAAGCGGCAAAGCGAGCCCGCCATGGTGTAAACTGAGAAGGCCTCGGTCGGGCGCCATCGGCTTGTGACACGATAGCCGCTTTGACCCTCAATCTGGCTAGCAAACCACCCTGGCCAGACCCGATCCAGGGGAGCTCTCGTGGCATAGAGGTTAAGGTGTTGGCCTCTCATGCAAAGGCCACGTGTTCGAATCCGGGTAGCGACCGAAAATGTTTTTCTGTAAAATTGTCTCCTTTCACCCCCTTTCCTGCTCTCTAGCAATATTCTGTTGTCTGCTTTCGTCTCCTCTTTCTGCCCCCACCCCCTCACCTCCTTTGCCCCCTCCGAAGGGCTCCTGACTCTTTCTGTTGCCTTTCTACTGCTACTCCTTGGCTCCTTTTTACTGCTGTCTTTCAGCCACACCCCTAATCTTCTGGTAGGAAACATCTACATCTAGCCTTCTCGGACAAGGGCGAAAAATCTCGGAGGGCCCATGTGCAAGTTGTGAACGTTTAAGATCCCTTGGTGGTCTAAAATCGATGAGTAGACTTCAGCCGCCACTCCGGGCAAAATTCACCAAAATTTCCTACCAACTGAAAATATTAGGCGCACATATCACCTTATGCAGTTGCGAGCTCTGTAAAAAAAACTTTCCAAAAAAACAAACAAAAAAACCCCCCATCCCCCCAAAGGGCACCCCGTATAATACGGTGCAGACTGCCAGGGTGGCGTGGATATGAAATTTCACCAGTGCCCGTGAAAGTACATAATGTACTCCAGTAGCGCCCCAGCAAAGAAACTTTCAGGCGTAGCCAGAGTCCAGAGGTGTTTGTCAAACAGTACATTGGTCCCATAAAATGCAAGCACTGGTGGCAATGGATAAGTAGGACTGACGCATACCATTATCAGAGAGGATAACAATTGAGAGGTGTGAAGTTTTGACCACTACTAGCCGACCGGACAAGCAACCCTTGATTACACCGGCTGGGCCTCTGACCCCCCCCC